TGATAAAAGGAGAAAGAATGTGATAAAGAATGAGACGCAGGGGGCGTGCATCCAATTACATTTTCGGAGTTGAAAAGGGGCATTATGGCCAAAGTCTTACTGTTATAGGCGATGGATGGGGGAGGCATCTAAAGACAAGAGGGTTGCTTACCCCTCCGCTTCTAATTCATATCATACCTGGGTAATAACACTGCTTCAGATTCACAAACTACCCCGACTTTTCGCATCTGCACAGCCTAAGAAAACTACTAACGTTACCGAGCTCTATTGTTTTCAGGAGTCTGGAATAGACCAGGATAGGTCAGATAGGCTTGGGGACTATAAAGAGAACAGGGCAGCCAACTGATTCTCCTAGCTTACGATCGAAAAAAATCTACAGTGTGTCTGAGTTATAGGATGTTGGAAATTCGGTTGTTTTATAGGATTGAGAAATGTGCTAAGTTGGTATCAAATTCAACCCACTGTAAGAGGTTTGAGTGTGAGCTTGGTAGGAGTAACTAATACAAAGAAAGAACATTTTGCCAATAGCTACACCTTCAATTTACTTCCCTCACCCTTAATTGAGCAAACAACAGGGCTTCGCTCTGATTATTCGTATTTTCTCAGTTTGTGGAAACATTTTATCTCCGTGAGTACTTCTCTTCCCTTCACGCTCAGTAAGTCTTTCACTCCCGCCTCTCATCCACACTCATACTAGTACTTTTCTCAAATGAATCTGACTACAATTCCACTTTCGCTACTTCACACACATGCTCTATTTCCCTCTTTCTGTTTCCTCAACCGGACGTAGCCACCTTCATGGTTGAGATTAAAGCACTGTAGCAGTAATAATAATAATAATAATAATAACAACAAAATAATAATGATAATATTAATAACATTGTAGCGATTATAAATTTATAATGAATGCACACAAACTATTTTTCCCGTTCAATAGAATCAGGATTGGGGGGTGTTGTATTCGAGGGTCGAAGGTGAGTATCCTTTAGTAACTGCAGTACAAAATCCCAACCCCCCCCGCCCAAATTGTCGACTGCAAGGACGGATCTCGAATAGGTGTGTTTCCCTTGCTTCCACTGAAGTTCATGACCATGCACTACTCACACTCATGATCCGCTATGCTCGTGCCAGCTGCGCTTGCATTTGCTTGTTGTCTAAGCCATCGCTCACGATCGCTAACTCCCAATCACACTTTACTTGCCTTTGATCTCGTTCATACACTTTGTTCATCCTTACCTTTGTGCGCGTTGTTTGTTCTTGTTTCGCTTTTGCGTGCATGCTTTCGCGCCTGTTTTGTGTGCTCATGTTCCTGCTATCTGCTAACAATCCCGAGCTCCTTTCTATTGTCTTTCTCCCATTTTCCTATCATAACGATAAAGCACCATGCGCGCGGCTTTCATAGTCGAATAATGATGAACAATAATAATAATGATGATAATAATAATAATTATAACCTTATTAGTAGTAGTGGTAATAGTAATAAAATAATGATGATAATACTAACAGAGTTAGAAGTCTGGATAATAGAAACTCTCTAGAAACATGTCCAGGTTCAGGGGTAAATCGACCCATGGACAAAGAAAAACAAAAGAAATCAAAAAAAAAATAGTCGGTACCACCTTGGCCTGGAACATTTTTTTGTTCCACGCCAGTGCCACTAGCAGCCTGATCGTGGGTTATGGGTTTCGTCCTCAGGCCTGAGTGCCTGCGTGCCTAAGTGCCCGAGGTGTAACATGCCGGGGAGAGAGAGAGAGAGAGAGAGAGAGAGAGAGAGAGAGAGAGAGAGAGAGAGAGAGAGAGAGAGAGAGAGAGAGAGAGAGAGAGCACTCACTCACTCTACGCAAGTGACGGACTTGACGGTCCCAGACAAAGTAGTGGAGTCACAAAGTCAAAGTCTTAGATTCCCGAATGCAAAAAGGGGCAAGTCACACAGAGCAAGCATAGTAGCTGAAAACTGGTTGCCCGATGGTGCGGGCGACCATCGGGTGGTCGATGTATATATTGGTTGGTCGTGCCAAACGGGGACCGGGTGTGAAAGGCCCTGAGGGCGAAACTACAAAATGGGGATTTTGGGAGTGTCGCCAAAATGCGGGGTGGTCCCAGAGGTTCGAAATCGAAAAAGGGCGCCACGCCGAAAACGGGGATGCAGCAGAAAACGAAAAACAAAGCCGCACGTGGGCTTGTGGCATGCAGACCAGGGATTGATCCCTAGCTGGTTCGTAACACTATCCCCTCCGTATGGAAGGCAACGTCCCCACTGCCAAAGGCCTAATGAAAAACTGTGACGGACGGGACGGGCCCGATCACTGGTTAGGAAAAAAAAAAAAAGGTGGGTAATGCAAGTAATACGGTAATTTTACTGATATTCTACAAAAGTGAAGATATCATTTTCAGCGAATAGGGTAGTTGAGGTTGTGCAAGGTTGAAGTAACAGGGAACAGGGAAATACTATTGATGTTCTACAAATAAGTCCTATTGGCGTTCTACAAGGATAAGGGAAGCAATGTTCATGTAACAGGGTAGTCCTATTAAGGTTCTACAAGGATGAGAGGAGCAATGTTTAGTAACATGGTAATCCTATTGAGGTTTTACAAGGATGAGGGGAGCAATGTTCATGTAACAGGGTAGTCCTATTGATGTTTTACAAGCTTATAGGTTTTGAGGGAAAAATAAAAATAAAAATGTTTGTTCAATGCTCAAGGGCTGGGGTGTATGAGGGGTGTGGGAAACAAAGTCTCAGATCTGTAACAAAATGTCAAGAAAATGTCTTGAAAGAGGTTTTCGGGGGTCTTGATCAGGTCCAAGATAGGTGAGAGAACCGGTCTTCAGCGGCTGCAATAGGTAGTTGTCGAATGTCCAAACTGCAAGAGAGCGAAGTAGGAGTACAAGTGTCCCAAGTCCAGGTGCTGGAGTGTGCCCGGTTCATGAACTGCAAGGAGGTCCGATCCGGTAGCACGGAAATCGCAGACTGATGCAAAGGTCCAGATCACATGTCGCTGCTCCGGTAAGTCCGTGAGTCCAGATTCTGCCCAAGGAAAGAACATGGTGGTCAATCCAGCTGCATTATCTCCATGAGCATGATGCATCAGGCCTTCGTCCTCGTGTGCTTGCCATTAGATCCTTTATCACCGGCGTCACTCAGGTCCACAACCATTGGTCAAGAGAGACAGAGAGTGTGGTAGAGGACAGATGGGAAGGACTAGGCTGAGGCAAGGGCGGATCAGACGGCGAGAGATCAAGATCAACGAAAGGGGTTAGGCTGGGTACAGGGGTGGTGTGTGTAGAGTCACGATCGCTGATAATGTTTTTGGGGAGACCGTGATGGCGGGTGACGTGGTCAAAGAAGAGTTTCGCGATGTCCTTGGCTTGGCAGGTGGTGGTACAAGGGATGAAATGAGCGCACTTGGTAAGTCGGCAGACAATGACATAGATGCAATCGTGACCATGGTCGGCCATGGGGAGACCACAAACGAAGTCCATGGAGACAGATTGCCAGCGGTGGGTGGGTATGGGGAGAGACTGGAATTTGCCAGCCTTGGCTTGGTTGGAGGGATTGACGGTTTGTGTGGCGGACCCACCAGGTGTGGTGATCCGCTAGTGACAGAGATGGAGATGGAGGAAGAACGGGGAGCAAGATGGCACAATGCAGCTCCCCGCGCAAGACTCCAACGCACGTACTCCAAAATGTGCAAGTGAGGAATGAGACTGGAAACAGATAATGGCTGGGGTATACCCCAGCGGACTGACGGGACTGGACTGGACTGGCTGGTACCGACAGAGGTACCGGCCTGGACTGGCCTACCCCGAATATAACACAGGCCTGTGAGAAGAGGCCAAGGGGCTAGTCTCACAGGCCAACCCGAGGTCCGCTACACGATCCTCGGCCTGTGACGGATTGCCTAGATACAAACATGCTTCCGCCAAGAAGCGGAACTCTACCAAAGAAAAGAAAACCTAAGTAATTTAGGATGCGTAGCAAGCTCCATGCTGAGTCCATGCGATGCAACCTAGGATATAAAATGTCACAAAACAGCAATGTCACAGCTAACAGCCTAAGTGAAAGTAGAAGGAACTAACTAACATACATGTCCTAGGAAAGTAAAAAGTAGTGACAACTTGATCCTAGAATGTTGGAGGCACTAGCCTCRGTCTGGTAACAACTGACTAGTGTATAAGTCCTAAGAACAACAAAAGCAGAACAGCTAAATCCTAGAAACGTCGGAGGCAGTAGCCTCAGTCTGAGAGCAACAAAGCAATACAACCAGATGTCACATGAGAAGTATGTCGCACACCAAAGGATGGGATGGTCTCTGAGGGTGGCGAATGCAGCCTAGGGGTCGAAAACTCCTAAGGGCATCCACACATAGTGACAGGGGAAAACACATGTCATCAGGCTCAATGAGGGTAGGGAACTGGGAGCGAACAGAACCAATGACCCKAACAGRTAGACCATCAGGGSGGGTAATGCTCGACTAAGGRGTGACYGCTATGGAGGGTCGACCATGCAAGGGAACAAGGGAGCCTGGTATAYTGGGCGCACCTAGATGAAGCATGYGGKGCTGCCTAACTAGGGCGTGAGGGCYGGCGAARGGTAGAAAGATGATGGGTAAGGGAATCATGCAAATGACTCCTAAAGTGAGGGAAGTCGGAGCTAGATCCGTAAGATGGGAAGCCAGGGCAACGCTACGGTCCCGATGCCTATGCGTATACCAAGGGAGAGCCCAACTCAGAGGAACCCGGCTAAAGGGAGACCATCCCGATGCCTATGCGTATACCAAGGGAGAGCCCAACTCAGAGGAACCCGGCTAAAGGGAGACCATCATGCGACACAAGCAGGGTGCTGTACAGGGTAGAGTGGTAAGAGAGTGGYKACGTCKGAAGTAGGCAGAGCTGATCKTGATGAAGTCCATGAAGYYGCCGATGACGTCCACGATGAGAAGTCCGGAATGCCGTCGAGGAAGAGCCGCAGCGTCGACGAGCTGAAGTAGCAAAACTGATGTGGATGGAATACTGAGAAGTCAAAGACGTGGGAAGGTAAGTGAGAGTCAATCGTCTTATCGAGCAGGACGACGACGAGTGCGCTGTGCACGCTCAGAAGCATCCGGCTGCTGCTCAAGGTCTACCTCAGATGGAGCAGGCTCAACTTCAGCGGTCTCCTTAGCCGGAGGAGAAGGAGGAGGGTTAGTGGGCTGAGGAGGAGCAGTGAACCCAGCACGACGAGCACGGTCATAGGCACGCACCAACATGCGAGCGTGCTGCAAGTGCTCGAGGGGCTCCCAGGTAGCCTCCTCATCAGGGTAACCCTTCCAACGTACGAGATACTCGACGTGGGGAGGGTTGTCGTCGGTGACTCGGCGACCAATGATGTCTGAAACGAGGAACTCCTCGTGGCTGTCCACCATGATGGGTGGAGGGCGCTCGTATGGTCGTCCAGCGAAATGCTCAGACGGTCTGCGGTAAGGACGCAGTAACGAGACGTGGTAGACATCATGCACACGAACCTGGCGTAGGTAGTCGGGCAGCTTCACACGAAAGTTCACCGAGCTAGATGTCGTATCAGAACCGACGGCCTGGAGGATGCGGCATAGGCCAAAAAAGCGATGCCGAAACTTGCCAAGCGTGTCCGCTTCGAGCTGTAAGTGGCGGGCGTCGATAAGCACATCATCACCGACCTTAAATGGGTGATCCATCCTCGATCGGTTCGCACGTGCTGCCATGCGAGTCTGGGAAGCGGCTATGTGCTCATGTGCAGTCTTCATAATCGACGTCATGTGTGCAACCCAAGCATCCAGCGCGGGACAACTCATGTCGGGGTGCATCTGGGACGGTCGAAGGAAGGCCGCGGGAACACGCGGGTGATAGCCGAGGTCGCAATAGTAAGGCGACATCCCCGTGGCTGGCGAGACGACGTGGTTGTAGGCTATCTCCGCGTGGGCAAGTTGTAGATCCCACTGCTGGTCGTCACGAACAATCTTTCGAAAAATATCCCCGAGAGTCCTGTTCGTATTCTCGATCTGACCATCAGTCTGAGGATGGTAAGACACGGAGAAGCGGAGCTGAGTGTCGTACATCTCGTGGAGCCGTCGCCAGAATCGGCTGGTAAAGCGCGGGTCACGGACAGATATGATGCTCAGAGGTAAGCCGTGGTCACGCACGACTCGGTCAAATACGATGTCGGCGACCTCACGTGCACTGATGGCATAGCGCCACGGAACAAAGTGTGCACCCTTCGTGAAGCGGTCGGTGACGACCAGGATAGCATCATGACCGCGGGGGGTCGGAGGTCGAAGAGGCCCGATAAAGTCCATCGAGATGGACTGCCAACGACCCTCAGGGATAGGAAGAGGCTGGAGCAAACCACAAGGTAGGTGGTTCGCAGTGTTCACCTCCTGACAGGTGGGACACTCTGCGACGTACTCCTTCACAAAGTCCTTGCGCTTCGGCCAGACGTACAGGCGGCTCATACGAGCCAACGTCTTGTGGAAGCCCATATGACCGGCAACTGCCTGGTCATGGAACTCTGCTACTGCTCGGACACGTAGCTGTCCAGTGGAAGGAACGCAAATACGGGGCTCTCTGGTGCCCTGTGCACCGTGCCAGTACACAAGACCGTTGTCCCCGAGAGAGTAGTTCGGGACAGTCTTGCCACTCCGAAGGGTCGTGTGGCTGTCGCGATAGTCGGGGCAGTGGCGGTACTAAGTGCGAAACTCGTCGATCACCGAGTGGTGGACGCTGGTGACCGAGATGGAAGAGAGCTGGATGTGCTCCTGGTCGTGGTCAGGGCGCCGGGATAGGGCATCTGTGACCCGATTAGTCTCACCCTTGATGTGCTCAGTGGTGAAACTAAACTTGGATAGGTCGCGCCACCAGCGAGCCTGTCGAGGAATGAGCTTCAGCTTTGTCAGAAAAGCCTGGACAACAGAGTTGTCCGTGCGCACCGTGAATGGTGCCCCGTGCAGGTAGTGACGCCAGTGTCGAGCGGCATAAACTACTACGAGAACCTCACGTTCATCAGCAGTGTAGTTTATCTCGGCGGGCAGGAGCTGACGGAAGTAGAAGACTATGGGACAATCACTTGAGCGAGACTCGATAGTGCCGTCCTCGGCGATGGTAGTAGAATAGTCAATAGAAGGTTCGTTAGTAGCTGGACGAGTAGCAGTCAGTCGGGAAGCAGTGGTAGGGGTAGGTGGTAGGAAGCGAGGGATACGAGGATGAGAGGAATCAGGAGATGAGGGGAAGACCTGAGAAAGCACTGCTCCTACAGCGAAGTCTGACGCATTGGTGGTAAGGATAAAAGGGTGGTCAAAATCGGGTAGATGAAGAACCGGTGCGCATGTCCCTGCCTTCTTGAGGGCGCGGAAGGCGTCTTCGTGGAGGGGTGTCCAAGCCCAGGGTGGATTCTTCCGGAGGAGGGTGGAGGTAAGTACGTAGGAATACCTAACATATCCCCGGATGAAGTTACTATAGTAGCTGGTCAGGCCTAGGAAACTGCGAAGATGCTTAGCGGATGTGGGAGCGGGCCACTCCGCAATAGCAGTGATCTTCGCCTCATCCATGTGGAGACCTTGGTCAGACACGTAGTGTCCTAAGAAATCCACTTTGTGCTGGGCAAGGCGACACTTGCTTAGCTTGGCGTAGAAGCCATGTCTGCGCAAGCGGTCAAGGACGTCGCGGAGGTGTCTGAGATGCTCCTCAAGTGTATGACTATAGATCAAGATATCGTCGAGGTAGACGAGAGCGTACTGCTCCAGGATGTCCCTGAAGATGTCGTTCATCGCCCTTTGGAAGGTAGCGGGTGCGTTGGTGAGGCCAAATGGCATCACCGTGAACTCGTAGTGACCGAATCGCGATCGGAACGCTGTCTTCGGCTGGTCGGCTGCAGCGACGCAGATCTGATGGTAACTGCTACGAAGATCAATCTTCGTAAAGAAGCGGTTGCTTGCTAGGGGGTCGAACAACTCATCGGAACGAGGCATGGGATAGCTGTTCTTAACCGTGTAGCGGTTGCGACCGCGGTAGTCGATGCAAAGACGAAGAGTTACATCCGCTTTGCGAGCAAAGAGGCGGGTGCACCCCACGGGGAGTTGCTGGGATTAATGAAACCCAGTCTCAGAAGCTCCTCAAGCTGACGCTCGAGTTCGGCGGCCTCGGGGATCGAGAGTCTGTAGGGTGCCTGGTGGTGAACACGATAGTCAGGCACGAGCTGAATGGAGTGCTCGACGTCACGCATCGGTGGGATGCCGGCGTACGAAAACGACGATGGAAAAACGTCGAGGTACTCTCGGATGAGGTCACGAACTGTGGGCTCCAAGTCAGCCGTATATCGTGCGAGTTCCTCAGCGTCAGCGTCAGCGCGCGACGGCGGGGTGGACTCGACGGACGGCGGAGGSACGGAAGTAGAGATGRGAGCCATGGAGATRGAGGGRGGATCTGGSTCCAGAGGGATGAGCTCGGYGTCGGGACAGGGTGGATCATAGTGTAAGAGATCCGTCACGTCCACCATAAAGAAGGTGACGTCGTCCTGTCGAATGAAGTGAGCGAACTGCCGAGGCGAGGTGACAGTCATAGAGGGAGATGGTGTGGGCACTGAAGGCTCCGAGGGAGGAGAATCGGGGCGTGGTGTCGCCGTGGTACCTATGAAACATACGTGATACGTTTGTCCACACGTCGTTTTGAGAACGAGAGTGTTGGTCGCCCAATCGGCCTCGGTGCTGCGGAACCGACGAGACCACGGAGTGCCGAGAATGAAGTCGTACCCCGTCTCCATCACATCGAAATGTGCAAAGGAGCGGTGGCGACGAGACGCCGGGGAACGATCAGTTGGCTCGAGAGTGAGGAAGAAGGGGAGATCGGTGACCGTGTGATCGAAGAAGCGCTGGGTCTTGTCATCCCCTAGGGTCACGGAGATGGGAGTTGGAGATCCTGTCGTGGGTAAGCGGGCTTCCTTCACCACGCGTGGGTGAATGAAGTCGCCCTGAGAACCGGAATCCCACAGCGTTGAGTACACCCTCGTGGAGGTCCCGAGTCGTACGGGGATGATCGGGAGGGTGCGATCAGGGTCAGAGAGGATGGCGAGAAGGCGACGCAGTGTAGCGACATGGAGGGTGAGTCGCTCCTGACGAGCCTAGAGCATGCTCAAGTCGAGAAGAGAGGACACAACGTCCTCGCGAGTAGCAAGCTACTCGCTGCAACGGGCTGAGCGAATGGCTCGACGCGTCGGTAGTCGCGGCGGGGAAGGAGGGGAGATGGTGGTCTGCGGAGGCGCAGACGATACTGCGACAGAGGACTGAGTACACTCTGTCGAGTCCTGCGACACCTGAACTCCAATAGCGAGAGGGGCGAATCGCGACGGAGATGTCGGGAAACCCACTACTGAGGAAGGCGCAGGTGTACACTGCACCGTGGCTACGAGGCGCCGCGGGGACGTGAGGCGCCGGGGGGGGACTGAGCACGACGCTGACGAGAAAGGTCAGCGTAGTGGCGGTCGAGGGCGGTAGTGTAAGGCCACCGCGACCGTCCAAGCGGCAGCGCAAACACCCACGCCAGCCCAGA